TAGTGAGGTGAAGAAGCTGGCATTTGGAGTGCTGACGATCTTCAAGTCAACATATTCATGCGAGCAAGCGTTTCCTTGCATAAATATAATACAAAGCATAAGAGCCAACTAACAAATAGAAATCTAGAGGCGTGCTTAAACTGAAAACAAGTTATGAGCCAGGTTTAAACAAACTTTCAAAAGGCATGCAAGGCGAAACTGTTGTAAAGTATTCAATAATTAAAGTTATATACTTTGATTACTGATTTATTATTCTAGCAGAGCTAGATAAAATACTTTAATACTTTTTCTGCAAAACATGTGTATGTTCTTATTTGAGTAAATATTATTTCATATATATATATATATATATATATATATATATATATATATATATATATATGTATATACATATATAATCCTAATCAATAAATATCATAATATTGAAATAAAAATGTTAGGGGCTCTTTGAACATTGGGTTATTTGGTTACTTGTAACTTTTGGCTCTTCCGTCCCAAAAGGATACCTACCCCCGAACGATTTTCAATTTTTTTTTTTTTTTTTTAAATAGGTTTTCAAGCTTCCTGAAAATTTTACTGATTATAGTCAAATTAATAACTACAATTAAAAGAACGTACATTTTATGATCAAACATGTTTTCAACTACGTTATGGTGTTCTTATTTAAAATACAGATTAGAAAGTAATTACAGCTAAAGTACTTAATTATTTACAATACATTTTATGTAGTAAAATTAATACATTTGTTAATTACAATTATAAATCATCATAAATTAGTTTTTTCTCGCTATTTCTGTATAAATATTTTGCTAACTACTTTTGGGAACTCAAGTTTCAGGTTGTCTACCTTGTTCCATTAAATTAATAAACAAAAGATAACAAACAGCATTTGTATTTTATGTCACACAAATGTTGTGTAACATTTTTTCCCCGTCAACATCTGTATTCAGCCTATGTCTACGTGGATGCAGTATCGTGCAGCTATTCTTTGAAAATTGTATTTATTTTCTATAATCCATATATATATATATATAATTCTCTTCTGCGAGACGTTAGAAAACAAGCTGCAAGCGCGCCTTGCAGTCCCCTCTCTTCCTCTATGTCGCAACCACCACCCCCTCTCACATGGTCTGGTGAGCTGTGGTTCACGCTAAATGTTTATAAACCGTAGAGACGGGTTTAGTGACGGCTATTAGGGGCAGATAATGTAGGTTGAAACGATTTTAAACTTAGGGGAGGTAACTAAGAGGAGGCTGCTTTCACGAGGGGGTGGGGCAGGGGTTGGGGGAAAGGAGGGTTTTAGTGTTTTAAAGCAAATATTTTCAGTGGCAGCATTGGTACTGTCGAATTCACAAATTATGAATTACTGAAAAGTTGAAAAAACAACTAAATAGCGGCGTATGATACGCCGCGGGTCGGCTCGTATATATATAATTATCTACGTCGCCCAACCAAGCAAGACACCACTACCACGACCACGCACGCACAACAAACCTCTAACTCTCATCCCGCCCCTCCCTGGCTCTCCAGACAAACGCAACAGACCATATCGCTACCACCTTCATACCCACCAGTCTGGTGAGCTGTGGTTCACGCCAAATGTTTACAATCGTAGAGCCGGGTCGAATTAGTGACGGCTATCACGTGGCAGATAATTTGGAAACTAATGGGAGGTAATAAGTTCTGCTTGATCTTAGGGCTGCTTTCACGCCGGGGGGGGGGGGATAATCGTCCTTCACGAGCTACTGATAGTGTTTTACAGCAAAATATTTTCAGTCGCAGCATTGGTAGTGTCAAATTCATAAATTATGAATTTCTCGTATTGAAATAATTTGACAACCTATATTTCGGTAAAAGGCCCTTTCCCCACACACACATCTTTTGCTCACTGTATCGACTGGTCTTCATTTAATGGTTTACATTTAATGGGTCTACGTTTTATGGTCTACATTCAATGGTCGACCTATTTTGAAAGAAAGTGGAAAAGAAAACCCAAAAAAAAAATATTAAACGATGGGACGACCAATACATTATTTGTAACCAGCATCAAGATGTTTTTAATCGAAGCAAGGCACACGGGCCAAAACTGTGGGACGGGATTGTGTAAACCAATAAAGATGTTGGTGATGCGCAGAACAATACATAAACAAATAAACTGTAAGGCCGACAGCGAAAAGGCCGAAAGACCATAATGCCGACAAACCATAAGGCCGACAAACATAAAAATACTAATATTGCAAACTATATGTTACTGCATAGCTTCTATCTAGACAACCATCAAAATAAGGCGTGAAAGAATGCGTAACTTTCAGGAGAAGAGGCGCTGCTAGTTCTTATACTTATAAGGTGAACCATCGGGTCCAAGCGACTGGAGGTTTACGGGAGTGTCTTAGACACAAAAGGATCACTACTGTCTTTTATATCTCATTGCAAGTCAACGAGGTGAGGCAACCATGAAAGAAGAACTCAAAAAAAGCCGCCGGGATCATCGCCCTTGTGCAACAAGGCGGAACGTCAAGAGACTATGCTAATTGCGATCCTTATAAGGTGAACAATGGGGTCCATGCGACTGGAGATGACGGGAGTGTACAAAAGGTAAACAGATGGGTGGCGTGACCACTATATTTTCGCAAAAAAATGGAAGAAAGAAACCGAATGAAGTAGACCGACCCCAAGGACCCAAAACACAGTTGAGGGGTGGCGCAGGAGGTGGCTGGTGATCGTCGGGAAATATTACCATGGAGTCAATTGTGTTTGCCCTAAATTCTAAAAATAAGAACAAGGAAGAGTAGAAGTTGAGATGGAGGCAATATTGCTTGCTGAGCTATGAATAAAATACTTTAAAAAAACTTTTAAAAAAAAACACGTTTTTCTTGTGGACTAAAAAGTAGAAAATAACTGTTTACATACATTTGATGACAAAAAACGTGGGTACGTTCACCATCAAATTTCCCGACCCATCTGCCCGACCCACGTTTTTTGTCATCAAATGTATGTAAACAGTTATTTTCTACTTTTTAGTCCACAAGAAAAACGTGGTTTTTTTTAAAAGTTTTTTTAAAGTATTTTATTTTCTCCTTTTTAGTCCGTTGCTACACATGAAAAACGTGGTTTTTAAAAAGTTTTTTATACAGTTTATTTTCTACTTTATCTAATCACTTGATTAAGTATGACTTGACTAAGTGTTTTTAAATACACGGACTAAAAAAATCTTGAGCGACCGATACGCTTTAAACAGAGAAAGGGTGTAATTTACGTTGCTGGCGTGGAGATCTACTCACGAATCACGTGATCAAATCTCCCATAAACAAACAAATAAACGCGAAGCTGAGTTAAGGAAAAACGTGTTTATGTGTATTTTAGCATACCCAGCGTACCAACCGTGTCACCGTTAACAATGTGTTACCGTGTCCGTTCTCCTTTTTAGTCCGTTGCTACACATGAAAAACGTGGTTTTTAAAAAAGTGTTTATAAATACACGGACTAAAAATCTTGAGCGACCAGGATTCGAACCTGGGTTGTCGCGGCCACAACGCGAAGTACTAACCACTATACGATCACGGCCAGCGCGCTCACATCGATTGGGGCCGAAGTAACTGTGTCAATAGGCCTCAAGTCTTGTCGGTATCTTTAGAAATCATGTCCTCAATTTTATGGTCCTTGGGGCGTAATTAAATTAAGCTAATTACGGTCACTAATTGCTAGTTTTTATGATTGCATCTGAAATTGTTAGGCGAAAGTAGCATGCATGCCAAATTTCAGGTCTCTAGAGCAATCAGAAGTGGGCTAATTTTCGATGTCAATTTTAACAACAAACATCCAAACAAACAAACGCGAAGCTGAGTTAAGAAAAACGTTTTAAAAAATAAAAAATAAAAAAACATTTACAGAAAGAGGACAGGATAGCAAATGCCATTGCAGAACGTAAAAAAAGAAATAGACTTGAATTTTTACGTAGCATAGCATACAATTTATCATACTAGGTCCTGTTTTTTTAAATATATTGTACTTTAAATTTATCATTTTGTAACTGGTTTTTAATCAAAGTTAAATATTTCTGTAATTGTAGTTTGTTTTATAAAACTTGTCGGCCTTTTGTCTTGTCGGTCTTCTGGATGTCGGCTGTTTAGCTGTCGGCCTTATTTCCTGTCGGCCTTTTTCCGAATTCTATTAGATAAGAGATGTCGTGGCCTAGCGGTTGAGAGCTAGACTGGAACACCCCTTAGTCCATCCAGCTCTCATGAGTACCTAACTTAAGTTAGGGAAAGTAAAGGTGGCTGTTCATAGTACTGACCACACTAAATGTGTCTTGGTCACGAATGGGAAATGATTATAGATTTCGGTTATGCAAAATAAAAATAAACTTAACCTATTAGACGAGAGCAGTAGCATAGAATCAAATAGTTTTTTTTCAAGCCAAATAGTTTATTTTAGGCAGGATAAAAAATTATGGAATCCGGTATTGTAGACAGTAGTTCCTAAGTTAAGATATTTTATGAAACCATTTTACCCATTTATAGTAATATGTTTATTTTTTTTTAGTCTCTGCTGTGTGAAACAGTTCAATGTAAGGGATTGATTTAAAATTAGATGAATATTGTTGTAGACGCCTTGTACGTATCTAGAGATTTACCACCAAAATGTGTAGCCATATTACAAACAATACAAATAAGTAAAGAACCTATTTAGACCTAGCTATCCGTTGTGCAGATGAAGTAGAGTTCAAATCTATCTTGACCTCGGCATATGAAGGGAAGTTGTGGTCAGCACTATACCCAGCCGCCTTTACTTTCCCTAACATGAGTACCCATCAGAGCTGGGTGGACTCGGACGCTCAAATGATTTGGATCCATATTCGAACCAAAGGCTTTCGGGTTAGCAGCACAGCGCTTTGCTGCTTAGGCCACGCCGTCCTGTTGTATTTAAATAACAAACTATTTTAGTTGTATGCAACATGCAACCATAACTTACAACAATCTATACAACGAGCCCTCCGATTATGTTGTTTTATTAATCCAATCAACACAAAGTTTACAAATGTATCATACAAGTAAGAGTACATAACACAAACTTTTTTAACAACCTCATTGGTTTTCTCTGTGGTACAAGACAAATCATCGTATTGATGTAATCATGATGGAACAGTTATGTTATGATGTAACAGATGTCTCATGTAGAAAAATGTTTTTGATGTCTAACAAAAATGATGGTATGAGATAACTATTTACATATTTAAAACAGTTTTATAAGAAATATTAAAATACAACACATTGTATTGAACAACATTTAAATAGGAAAAAAACACTGCAATTAATTGTAACGACAAAAGGCCAATTGGTTTAGAAGTTACTGAAATGATTGGAGAGAGGGGGGGGGGGGGGTTAAACAAAGAAACTCAGTTGCCGGGGCGATATTCAACAAAAGGACCTAATGATGAAATTAGGGGAAAGGTGGAAGGTGAAAAACTCCAGTTTAAATTAATTTAATGAAATTTATTTTAGAAGTGGCTCTACTAAAGGGGGTAAGCTGCTGCCCGTTAAATGTGGTGAGAAAATTCTTCAATGGACGATAAGCCATTGAAAAACTAGAGTTAAATTCATCTTTATATTTTTACAATCTTGTAATTATTTGTCAAACTGGTCAAAGTCTATCTTTGGTATAACTAGAATCTCAGACTAGTCTTCTACAAGTCAAAGTTGGGACTAACAAAAAGGAATAATTTTAAATAATCCGTCAGATAAAATATACCTATTGGTCTAAACTAAACAGTCATAAGTCTTACGTCTCAACCGTAATTTGTGTCATTTCCGGAAATCTCATATTGACAACACCTCACTCCTGAGACCCCCTACGTCAGAGCAATAATGTAGGTCAGAAGTTATAAATACATCAAAACTAGAAGTCACCCCTGACAAGTCAAACGACTAGAACTAATGAACAATGTTTTTTGTCAACAAATGACGTCATACAGATCCGGCTATTTATATATTGCTCTCGTGTGAGTTGTAGTCTTTCTTCTTGGTGAGCATCTTCTTGTAGACCTTGCCCTCAGCCTCTTCCCCCTTGGGGTGCTCGTAGTCCTGGATGGCCCCCCGCCTGTACTTTCTCCACAAAGTCCCGGGGCTAGTGGCGAACACAAGGTCATAGGTCAGCGACCCGATGACCCCGCCGATCATTGGACCTACCCAGTACACCTGAAATGTAAGATGGAGTAGAAGCAAATATGGTGAGACATTGTGGATGGTTTATTTTATGGTTCAAGTATTATATTCGTTGCAGGTTATATTCAATATTAATTTACTCAAAAGCACTTTGAAATACTGTGCCAAATGATAACCCTAACTAGAAGCCTAACATAACCACTTTAACCGTAACCCTAATTCAAACTTCGATCAGCGGAATACTAATAAACTTTTCGAATCTTCTTTGTTCTTAATTTTAGTGTTGGAAGGGATTAAGTATGCGTCAACTGATTATGCGCAATTCAGGCCATTGACTCCGATTTCAGCCTGCTTTTCTTTTCAATTTGAATTTGCTTCAATAGACTTTGTCAGTGTTTCTTCCAGACATTTTTTTCCGGGGGTGCACTTGACATTTTCGGGGGGAGGGGGGGGCGGAAACTGGTAAAAGTATATGTTTTCTATATAAATTAGGGAGGGGGGGCGGTAGACTTTCTTCGGGATGAGGGGGGGGGGGCTCCGCACCCCCGAAGAAATGCCTGGAAGAAACCAAGAAAAAAACAAGGCAGCAGTTGTTTGATTTTGGAGTTGTCTCTCCTAGAAGAGTGGCTGGCCCCAGCTAACGAGCCTCATCTGCCCGAGGGTCCGAACGGGAGACATTTCGGTTTAGCAACCCTGAGCTTTACCGACTCGACCACGCCGACTCCTCTTTGCTAACAATAAGATTATTAATTATACAAGTAACTATTTGGTTATATTCATAAGTTGTAAGGTTAACAGGACCTCTGATGGTTAAATTACTTTATAGTTGGGTACATTAAGGTTACATGCGGAGACAGATCAAAGTTCATGTTTACATGCGCAGCTAAATAGTTGTTTAGTGGTATCAATTTGCTAACTTTATAAAGGCTAGCTTTCGTTATAGATTATGGTATAATTAGGGGGTTAGATGAGAAAGGTAAAACGTCCATAATATAACTATCGATAGGACTCGGTACCTGCAAAAGGAAAAGAAGGGTAGGAAAAGTAGGGAATAAACGTACCCAAATATTTTCCAGGTCTCCTTTGATGAGGGCGGGTGCAAAGTTCCTGACAGGATTCATGATGCCACCAGACAGAGTCTCCTAGAGACAAGTAAAATAATTTCATTTAGGGCGTGGTCAATGACAAAGTAGGCGTGGCATGTCTTGTTTAGGGTGTGGTCAAGCGAATAAGTGGACACTGTAAAATCGTGACACCACAGTGGACAAGGTAAGATCGGGTCATAATAAAGTGGTCAGACAACACATTTAAGTGGGCGTGGTCAAAGTAAATTTCTTAGGCGTGGCATAAGGGGTCTTTCACATTAAACAGGTATGCTTAAGTGTATGTGTCGATTGATAATTACCCCGTAGAAGATGTTGATAGTGACTGTCAGACCAACCATGAAGGGAATCGAACCCTGGACGTCCTTTCTACCTGAGTCGATCTGAGGAAAACAGAATTTTGGTGGTAGCCTGTGTTGGATTTAGTGGTAGCCGGTGTTGGTATAGTGGTGGCAGGTGATGGTATAGTGGTGGCCGGTGATGGTATAGTGGTGGCCGGTGATGGTATAGTGGTGGCCGGTGATGGTATAGTGGTGGCCGGTGATGGTATAGTGGTGGCAGGTGATGGTATAGTGGTGGCAGGTGATGGTAGAGGGGTGGCAGGTGATGGTAGAGGGGTGGCAGGTGATGGTAGAGTGGTGGCCGGTGATGGTAGAGTGGTGGCCGGTGATGGTATAGTGGTGGCCGGTGATGGTATAGTGGTGGCCGGTGATGGTATAGTGGTGGCCGGTGATGGTATAGTGGTGGAAGGTGATGGTATAGTGGTGGAAGGTGATGGTATAGTGGTGGCAGGTGATGGTATAGTGGTGGCCGGTGATGGTATAGTGGTGGCCGGTGATGGTATAGTGGTGGCCGGTGATGGTATAGTGGTGGCAGGTGATGGTATAGTGGTGGCAGGTGATGGTATAGTGGTGGCAGGTGATGGTATAGTGGTGGCAGGTGAGGGTATAGTGGTGGCAGGTGATGGTGTAGTGGTGGCAGGTGATGGTGTAGTGGTGACAGGTGATGGTATAGTGGTGGCAGGTGATGGTATAGTGGTGGCAGGTGATGGTATAGTGGTGGCAGGTGATGGTATAGTGGTGGCAGGTGATGGTGTAGTGGTGGCAGGTGATGGTATAGTGGTGGCAGGTGATGGTATAGTGGTGGCAGGTGATGGTGTAGTTGTGGCAGGTGATGGTGTAGTGGTGGTAGGTGATGGTATCGTGGTGGCAGGTGATGGTATAGTGGTGGCAGGTGATGGTATAGTGGTAGGAGGTGATGGGTAGTTTGGTAGTACTTGGTGATTTTAGTGGTACTTTGTAATAATTTTACTGGGTTTTTTAAATTTAGGTTGTTGATATTTGTTATATTTCTTACTAGTTATTGTAGTAGTAAGGTTAGTATATAGGTTACTACTGTGTTTGTTGTGTGGACGGGGTGGTGAGGTGGGGGCTCCTACCATTGCCATGACAACGAACATGAGAAAAAACGTGACGTAGATCTCGCTCCCCACCGCCATGCCGAGGGTGCATTCCTTGCCTATCTTGATGATGCCGAGATTGCCGTGCATAGACTCGGGTATGACGACCTTCAGTAGAGCCACGCCTGTAAGACCTCCGCAGGTTTGAAATACCGTGTACACAATAAACCTGCATGTACACCAAAAGCTATGTACACATCAGTTATATAATTCCAAAACTAATTTATAAAATACACATGCTTAAAAGCCTACTTCATTCCGAAATATTATTTTGTAAAATACTTTCATTTTTAAAAGTTCTTTGTTTTCATTTTTTTAAATGCTTTTATTTTCCATAAAACAATTGACAAAATATTTAACCATCATAGGGGTTAAATTAATAATAATAGATTACATTTTAGGTGATTCATATATGAGAAAAAGGATGTTTGACATAAAAATAAAAGGAGCGTTTCGTATTCGACAATCTCAAGATTTGTACAATAATATTTGTGAATACAAGAGCAAATAAACCAAGATATACATTATTTAGTAGAATATGATTAATTTATATACATCTTAAAAAGTACAATAGTAATGTCTTGAAGTGCTGAATAAAAGTATATATATATAAATATAAAAACATTTTACATCTACACATCTACTTACCAGCCCTATAGCGTTAAGTATAACTTCCGGTCACCAGAAATTACTCAAAATTTGAGAGAAACAGAATTAGATCTTTTACTCATGTGAAACGTTATATATGTATCAGAAACAGTACACAAGTTAAAGGCTTTGGGAAACCGAAAGTAGAATTTCACTTCATGTTACCGAAAATCGCTGAAAAGTTTATACAGAACTACAAATTTGATGTAATACTTATATATGAAACTTCATCAACCTAGCTCAGGGGTCGGCAACCTTTTGAGACGGAAGAGCCAAAAGTTACAATTTACAAAATCTCAGTTTATAAAGAGCCACTAACATTTTTTGTTAATATTATGGTATTTGGTTAGAATTAGGCAAATGAATTTAAAATAAATGGGTTTAAGTATGAAATAATATTTATTCATATAAAACCATATGCATATTTCGCACAAAAGATTAAAGTATTTTAGCTAGCTCTGCTAGGATATTAAAATCAAATCATATAACTATACCACTATCCCTACCCAATTTAGAGTAAGTAGTAAAGGGAAATAAATAAGTTTGCAATAGTGGTTTAAAATATAAACAAAATCAAATTTATTAAAACTAATCAATATGTTTCATTTATATACAACAAAAAATAACAGGCAATGTGTAATTAATTTTTTTTATCTGTTCACTTTATCAAAAATATATTATTTGGCTCTAATTTAAATATAAAACTAGTATTATTTTAACCTTTTAATTTACAGAAATACAAAATGTTTCAATATTTGATTAATACGTTAGAAATCATTATAGCATTTATTAATGTGTATTATAAATAAATTTTTTTGGACAAAATACTAAAATAGTCTTAAATGCCTAATCTTATTCTAAGGCCTAAGTTAGTCTTCAAAATAATACAAGGCAGAGAAAGAAGTAGATCTAGATCTATACTAACGTTTTTGTGAGTAAATATTAATAAGTTAATAACCATGTTCGCCCAAGTACAGCCAAGTTCCTAAACCAGTCAAGGGAATAATTCAGGGCTCTATGAGGAGGTGAAACTGTACAGAACAACAAAAGAAAGAGAAAAATATGACAACATGGCTGATGTGTATGCTGTTATAAACACACTCCAGAGTTTGGAGAAAGCTTACATTAGAGATGCTGTCCTTGCTAAAAAGAGTACACAGCTACATGCTCCAAACTTTTAGTTCAGTATAAAGCAGCTTTCAAACAAGTACACAGTGACTTTTCTACAATAGAGGAGTTTATGAAAAAGTATAGGCTGGATTGTCCAGCAGCACTAGAGAGAATCAAAGAAGACAGGCCTATTACTATTAAAGATGACAAAGGAAATACGAGTAAACGTATAGCAGACATAGTCTCTCTTTTTATCACTGTTATGGACAAACTGAGGCTAGACATTAAAGCTATGGATGCAATTCACCCAGACCTACAAGAACTTGTAGAAACTATGACACGCCTCAGCCTCTTACCTTCAGACTTTGAGGGCAAACAGAAAGTGCGTAAATGGTTGGAAACACTTGGCAACATGCAGGCTTCAGAGGAATTAGATGAGACACAGGTCAGACAGATGCTCTTTGATTTAGAATCTGCTTACAATGAATTTAACAGGGTCCTGCACGATAATTGATTTTCTGCTATTTAAAGAATTCTGTTATAGTAAACACATTATTGTCCTAGTATTATTTTACCAGATCAGGACATATTGGGGAAATAAGTGTTAAATAGGGTATGTTACGCATTTGACCGTATTAAATTAGGGTAAATTTATTTCTTAAAATTCAGATGCAGTTTTTCTACAATTGTAAAATATTTTTTTCTGCAGTATGTTCGTATAGTGCTTACTGGTTTTGTTCATAATATTAATAATTGAAAAAAAACATAATTGGAATATTTTTGTATTTTATTTCATTGCAAATATGTCAATGTTTTAGTAATTTATCTTTCTTATACTGCAGTTACTGATACTATTAATTTCTGATCTTTGAAAACAAGTTATTATATCTGTAACAAATTTGGATACAGTATGAACTTTCATACTATGTACATAGTTCATTTTCCAAGAAAATATAAACATTGAATTTTGTGAATGTCCAAAATTATACTTGCTGTACATATTAAAGAATCTTTACACACAAAAAAATAAAAATAAAATAAATAATTTTTTTTAATAAATAATTAAATTGCGAAAATGAATGGCTGAGTGCAAGAATTATATAGTGCGCAGTTTCCCGTTTGCGCACTTCGCGCAATTTCGTCATTCATGATGATCAATTAATAGATATTAAGTGATAAGCTCTGGGCGCCAAACTGAATCTGACTTATTTTCATATATCGTTTATAGAGTACAAAAAAAATATAAAAAATCGCACAGTGCTGGGGCGCCACCCCTAAGAAATTTCAAATTCTTTTCATGGAAACCTTTTAGTAGTATTCTCATCAACTCCCCAAAGTTTCATGGCACTCGAATGAAAGCTGTCAGACCACATAAGTTTTTTTTATATACAATACTAGCCGCCCCGGCCAGGCCCTGCTCTGGCTTCTGTGAAAAACCTTTCTGTTAAAGACCATTACCTGGGTGTTTAGTAATCATCATAAACCCGGCATTGCCCACCCAAACCACAACCAACCAAAACAACAAAACGCAAACATAACGCTAACACAATTACAAATACAAACGAAAACAAAAACCTAACAACAAACCCAACCACAATCACAAACACCAATACAAACACAAAGAAAAAAAAAACAAAAAAGCAAAGGAAAACAAAAACCTAACAACAAACACAACCACAAACACCATACGAACACAAAGAAAAAAAAACGAAAAAGCAAACGAAAACAAACCAAATCCAAACGCAAAACCAACCACAAACACAAACCCAAAGAAAAAAACACAAACGAAAAAGCAAACGAAAACTAACCAAATCCAAACGCAAAACCAACCACAAACACAAATACAAACACAAACCCAAAGAAAAAAAACACAAACGAAAACGAAAAAAAAAAAGAACAAAAACGAACCAAATCAAAACGCAACCACTAACGCAAACCCAACCTAAACACAAAGAAAAACCTAAACACAAAGAAAACACTAACGCGAACATAAACGCAAAGTGCTCACAGTCTAGACCGGGGTGGAATCGCCTGTTTCAGCTTACTAATCGACTATAGTATCCCAACTTATTCATAGTCTTTTGCACTCACTTAAACGAACGTAGGTGCCAAACCAAACCAAATGAACAATTATAATACTCCAAGCTTATTCGTAAAATACCTACAACATTTGCACTTGATCAATCCCCGCTAATTATGTAATTATTTTTTTTCCCCAACACCAAAACAAAGTAATAAAAAGTAAATTATTTTCCACTAATGCAATGTTTTATAAAGGGAAGTAATTGTGTTTTCCTAATTTATCAAAGGGAAGTAAGTGCTAAAGGACTAAATATAAATAATTTTCAGACATAATTAGAATTTTTGTTATTTTTTTTAAATTGTGTTTAATGAACATGCCGACAATTATTACTATCAGCTTGAAAAATGAAAATTATTTCTCAACACTTTCAATAGTAATTTTTTAACTCATAAATTTAGACAAATGCGCACGATAATATTCTAACACTTTAATCCATCGAAGTATGTCAACGACATACATATTTATATTTACATACAGAATTGAGCTTTATATATTAGATATAAAGAAAAATCTCATCTGTTTACTACGTGTATCTTATGGTTTGGAAAATTACCCTAATATGTTTAGCTCTAACATTGCTTCTTATGGTACGATGAAGCTTAGCCTATAGCGTGAAAAGTTTGCATTGATTACACTACTCATGGATTTATATTTGAGGCTCTAAAATAAAATAAAAAAACCTAAACTTGGGAATAAAAAAAATTTATGATTTTTTTTTTCATTTACCTGACTACTGTGATATGACCCGTGACCAGGAACCCAATGGACACGGCTGGGTTAACGTGACCTCCACTCACGGTCGATAACGCCGTGATGATGACGGCGAAGAAGAAACCACAGCCTAGCGCCACCTGGGGAAGTCACGTGATGAGAGATTGATAAGTGATGGAACATCTGCAAGCAGATAACTTCGGACCACTTAAAAAACTTGCCCCATAGACCGTCAAGTTTGAAAGGGAAACTTTTTTTACTTTACTTAAAACCCTAGCTTTACACAAAGCCAAGAAGCCCTATATCAAGTCAGATGAAACAGTTGTATTACAAAACTTTATATCATAATCAAACGTACCATTCAAGTTTCCCCACTCACAATAAAATGGAGCACCCAGTTATATATCAATTCATCTGATATCGCCATACCACCTGGAACTGACGGCACCACCCACCCACCCACCTGTAACTATGTGCCACCCACCCACCTGTTTCTATGTTAAAACACCCACCCACCTGTACCTATGAGGCACCACCCACCTGTAACTATGTGCCACACATCCACCTGTTCCTATGTTAAAACACCCACCCACCTGTACCTATGAGGCACAACCCACCTGTAACTATGTGCCACCCACCCACCTGTACCTACATGGAAAACCCACCCACCTGTATCTATGTGACACCACCCACCCGTAACAATGCGGCACCACCCACCCACCCGTAACAATGTGGCGCCACCCACCCAACTAACAATGAGGCACCACCCACCTGTAACACCACTCACCTGTAAGTTGCATCATAAACCCGCCCATAACGTAACTGACACCACCAATCCACCTGTAACTAAATTGAAACCACCAACCCACCTGTAACTAAATTGAAACCACCCACCCAGCAGTAAACTGACTGACACCACCCACCTGTAGATGAGTAACACCCGCCACCATTCCGAATTTGATGGTGAACATGTTAAGAAACAGACATCCAATGAACTCTGCCATGGCACCCCGCCACAGTCCCAGACTTTTCAAGTCTGTCAGTTCCAGATCAATGAACCGTGACAGACATGGTTCGTTAGGCTTCCTCGTGCGAGCCTCTTCCCTCAGCATACATGGGATGGATGCGATAGACATGACTTCTGGTCAAAATCGGGAAATCCTGAGTGAGAAAAAAAAATGCAATGCGGTGAAATAAGTATTGTTTTACCTCTAGTGAGTTTCGGAAATTGCGTCATGTTTTCAGTCATGTCGCGCGTATGATATGGAACTCCGTCGTTTTCGTTGAATAACTAAGTCTGCAAGATGAACAACTCAATGTCTGAAAACCTCTAAAGTCTTTAAACTCGTGGCAAAGTTTAGTAAAGATACTTAAGTAGATATGGAGATACATAGGTCCACCATTTTAAAAATTACATAAAAATCGCTTGCAGTTGCTTTTGACAATAATTTTAGCTAATTAAGAAGAGAGCGGTTAAAATCTCATCCAAAAACTCGCTAGTTCGTATCCCATGACTCGGTAATATTCTCCTGAGTTTTTCGCTATGATTGGTTATCGTTTTCCTATTCATTCCATGTGGAGCTCTTGCGAAACAGAGGGCATCAAAACTTTCCACTCCCCACCGTCTCCTACAAATCTTTTCACTTGTTCCCAATTCCTTCATATCCTTTCAGCTCGCTACTTCGCCATATCTACTGAAGTCTAACCCTCGCGTCGTCTTCCCTGGGGGAGTGGGGGGGGGGGGGGGGGGGGGTTCACCTCAGGGCATGTCTGGCTCTATGACCAAAGCCCACCCTAAGCTAGTGCCCAAACCATCGCCTCCTCTCCAAGATTTGACTTTCCTGTCCACTAATCTCCCATAGTTTGTAGATGTGATTGGTACCTGACTCAAATTGTGGATGGTAAAGCCAAATGTGTTTTAAAACTAAACCTTTGTTGAGCTCGTACAAATACGTGTAAGCGATCCTTCAGACCCATTTGGTCGGATACGGAAATTAAATAGCTATAATTGATTTAAGATAAGTACCTATATGTTCAAAAAAAGTGAAAGCCTACAAATTGGTTTAATTTTAAAAATCTGAAAACCACAATGTAAAGTATGTTAAACTTTTCGCAGTACGAATTCCGCATAAAACGTAACAATACAGTGATCAAAAACATGCACAATATTTAAAGCATACAAGAGATAAGAACGTTTTTGTTTTTTTTAAAAATGAAAAAGCAGTGGACAAAGCAGACTTACTTTTTCTCCTGGCTCGCTGTGTGCAGGGGTTAGATGATAGTGACCCAAAAACATATACCGTACATCTGTTTAAAACAGACCATATGCTTGATTACCGTAAACCTGCGAAAAAAGTATAATCGTTATAGCCAATACATTGCTTTGTTGACTAGTGAGTAATGGGGGTGGGGGTGGGATCTTCACGATGCGGGAAGAGGAGGGGGGGGGGAAGACCTTCACCTTTCTGTGAGCGTCATTCGGAACAACAACTTTTCGTGACCCCTGACCTATAGTGAGTAAAAAACTTGAGATGTTTGAATCTACCTGTATCGTCAGGTGTAGCGAGGGAAACCAAAGACGAAGACACAAAGTTTATCGCCTGCTAGCTTCGTTTCCTGCCGTGAGTTGAGTCATAGACGCGCCTTACAAATTGTATTATCTGGTCAAAGAAGGTCAGTTTTTGAGACAGTTGCGTAATCCTCCCCCCCAACCCACATAGCTCCCCCCCCCAACCCACATAGCTCCCCCCCCAACCCACATAGCTCCCCCCCCCCAACCCACATAGCTCCCCCCCCCCAACCCACATAGCTCCCCCCCCAACCCACATAGCTCCCCCCCCCAACCCACATAGCTCACCCCCCCCCAACCCACATAGCTCCCCCCCCCAACCCACATAGCTCCCCCCCCCAACCCACATAGCTCCCCCCCCCAACCCACATAGCTCCCCCCCCCAACCCACATAGCTCCCCCCCCCCAACCCACATAGCTCCCCCCCCCCCCAACCCACATAGCTCCCCCCCCCCCAACCCACATAGCTCCCCCCCCCAACCCACATAGCTCCCCCCCCCCCAACCCACATAGCTCCCCCCCCCCAACCCACATAGCTCCCCCAACACACATAGCTCCCCCCCCAACCCACATAGCTCCCCCCCCCAACCCACATAGCTCCCCCCCCCAACCCACATAGCTCCCCTCCCCAACCCACATAGCTCCCCCCCCCCAACCCACATAGCTCCCCCCCCAACCCACATAGCTCCCCCCCCAACCCACATAGCTCCCCCAACACACATAGCTCCCCCCAACCTACATAGCTCCCCCCCCAACCCACATAGCTCCCCCCCCCCCCAACCCACATAGCTCCCCCCCCAACCCACATAGCCCCCCCCAACCCACATAGCCCCCCCCAACCCACATAGCCCCCCCCCAACCCACATAGCTCCCCCAACACACATAGCTCCCCCCCCCCAACCCACATAGCTCCCCCCCCCCAACCCACATAGCTCCCCCCCCAACCCACATAGCTCCCCCCCCAACCCACATAGCTCACCCCCCCCAACCCACATAGCTCCCCCCCCCAACCCACATAGCTCCCCCCCCAACCCACATAGCTCCCCCCCCCCCAACCCACATAGCTCCCCCCCCCAACCCACATAGCTCCCCCCCCCAACCCACATAGCTCCCCCCCCAACCCACATAGCTCCCCCAACACACATAGCTCCCCCCCCAACCCACATAGCTCCCCTCCCCAACCCACATAGCTCCCCTCCCCAACCCACATAGCTCCCCCCCCAACCCACATAGCTCCCCCCCCCAACCCACATAGCTCCCCCCCCCAACCCACATAGCTCCCCCCCCCAACCCACATAGCTCCCCCAACACACATAGCTCCCCCCCCAACCCACATAGCTCCCCCCCCAACCCACATAGCCCCCCCCAACCCACATAGCTCCCCCAACACACATAGCTCCCCCCCCCCCAACCCACATAGCTCCCCCCCACCAACCCACATAGCTCCCCCCCCAACCCACATAGCTCCCCCCCAACCCACATAGCTCCCCCCCAACCCACATAGCTCCCCCCCCAACCCACATAGCTCCCCCCCCAACCCACATAGCTCCCCCCCCAACCCACATAGCTCCCCCCCCAACCCACATAGCTCCCCCCCCACCCACATAGCTCCCCCCCCCAACCCACATAGCTCCCCCCCCCAACCCACATAGCTCCCCCCAACCCACATAGCTCCCCCCCCAACCCACATAGCCCCCCCCCCAACCCACATAGCCCCCCCCCCAACCCACATAGCTCCCCCAACACACATAGCTCCCCCCCCAACCCACATAGCTCCACCCCCCCAACCCACATAGCTCCCCCCCCCAACCCACATAGCTCCCCCCCCAACCCACATAGCTCCCCCCCCCAACCCACATAGCTCCCCCCCCCAACCCACATAGCTCCCCCCCAACCCACATAGCTCCGCCCCCAACCCACATAGCTCCCCCCCCCCAACCCACATAGCTCCCCCAACACACATAGCTCCCCCCCCCAACCCACATAGCTCCCCCCCCCCAACCCACATAGCCCCCCCCCAACCCACATAGCTCCCCCAACACACATAGCTCCCCCCCCCAACCCACATAGCTCCCCCCCCCAACCCACATAGCTCCTCCCCAACCCACATAGACCCCCCCCCCCCGACCCACATAGACCCCCCCCCGACCCTCATAGACCCCCCCGACCCACATAGACCCCCCCAACCCACATAGGCCCCCTTACCCCGACCTCTCTCACAACACTGATACAGTGTGGGTCTTCCCTTTGTAACACTATACAAACACACTGATACAGTCCACAAGTCCGATCAATAGCGGATTATGAAAACACGACAGCTGGTTAAATAATGAAGGGGGAGAGGGTGGAGGGGGGAATCTACACCCCAAAGCTTGACATATAGACACCTCACTAGGAACATACATATATTGATTTTAGTACCACTTATACGATTCTCACTGACTAATTAATGGCGCATAATTAGAAACCACTTTTTGCCTACTGAATAATGTATTCCAACGTGTAGCTATGATTATGATCATATGTAAAGTAAACATACTGGTGTGGTTTTGTTACAGATTTAGAACTGTCTTTAAACGTTATTCAGGTTTATTGATATCAAAGTGTATTGTTGCAGTTAATAAGTAATAAAGAAATTAATGTATTAAACCAGTTTATTGTAAATCGTTTTGTGTATAGTGACGATGCCCGTTTGGTTTCGTTTTGAAAGTGTGTTGTGGTTTAGTTCTCTGATCCATTTAGAACTAACGCAACTGAGTCGGAAAATGCATTTTTATAAATCGATCATGACATTCGACAAAATTGTTAAGACATTCTATACTAGGATGTTAGATTGTCAAAATAGTGCTATCTAAGAATAGAAGGGTGAAATTTTAAAATCATGTCCCCCTTCACATCTTTTAAAATCCATAGGGTAGATAACTCTCGTCTGTTTCTTTAAGCCTTGGCATACGAACGGACAGTGTTTGACCAGCCGCATCACGTTTGTCAGCTATAGCGTACATCAGAGCTGGGCGGACTCAGGGACAGCCTTCGTGGTATACTGAGGACCGAACTCTAGAGTTTCGGCTAAGTAACAACCCAAGTTAAAATGTTAGGATATGTCACTGTTGCGATCATGGAATATTTGGATGTTAAATGTTAGGATATGTCACTGTTGCGATCATGGAATATTTGGATGTTAAATGTTAGGATATGTCACTGTTGCGATCATGGAATATTTGGATGTTAAATGTTAGGATATGTAACTATTGCAATCATGGAATATTTGGATGTTAAATGTTAGGATATGTAACTATTGCAATCATGGAATATTTGGATGTTAAATGTTAGGATATGTCACTGTTGCGATCATGGAATATTTGGATGTTAAATGTTAGGATATGTCACTGTTGCGATCATGGAATATTTGGATGTTAAATGTTAGGATATGTCACTGTTGCGATCATGGAATATTTGGATGTTAAATGTTAGGATATGTAACTATTGCAATCATGGAATATTTGGATGTTAAATGTTAGGATATGTAACTATTGCGATCATGGAATATTTGGATGTTAAATGTTAGGATATGTAACTATTGCGATCATGGAATATTTGGATGTTAAATTAGAATATGTCACTATTGCGATCATGGAATATTTGGATGTTAAATTAGAATATGTCACTTTTGCGATCATGGAATATTTGGATGTTAAATGTTAGAATTTGCAGGGAATGAAGTTTTTTTTTTAAATTATAACAAAAAGTTAAACGATTAGTGAGTTTTAAAAAAAACTTCGAGTGCCTTATTTGAGTTATTTAATCCTTTAAAAAAACTGCAATGAATCTAATGTGCAGCAGATTATGTGTGTTTGCTAATCATCTTGTGTGCAGCGGTTACCTGCAATCCCTATAATCCAGGAGATAATCCCCAGATTATCGGCGTTAATTAACCCAGTCATGCGATCGTGGTTAAATAACCGAATTTAAGGTGTTGCCTAATTCACGGTAATTAATGGATTAGTCGTAATTAGTGGAGGGGAAAATGACGAAGTTAGTCTGGACGAAGTTCATCGGAGTGGGGTCATGGATGATATTTTGTATGAAGGGGCAGGGGGGGGGGGGGGGGGAAGGAATGGATAAAATCTGTTGTGTGGTTTATCATGAACATTTAAATGAAACTGAATGTGTTTATCACACTGCTCACATATAGGTATTGCCGCCGGTTTTAAGTAGGTTGTAGAGTATGGCTTGGATTTTTATATATAGGCACTTTCCTGTGAAGGTCGGGATTTGGGTCGGCATGAGGGTGCGGGTGAGGGTGCGGGTCAGGATGAGGGTCAAGATGGATGAGGGTCAGGATGGATGAGGGTCAGGATGAGGATCAGGATGAGGGTCAGGATGAGGGTCAGGATTAGGGTCAGGATTAGGGTCAGGATTAGGGTCAGGATTAGGGTCAGGATTAGGGTCAGGATTAGGGTCAGGATTAGGGTCAGATTGAGGGTCATAATTATGTGTTGAACGTTGAAGGTTTCCACTTCCGTACCGTAACAATCCACATTACAGGTGGTGGCAAAAAGCTTGCCATATTTAGGCTGTGTTTCTTGTCACAGGAAGAATGCTGATGTAGGTCGCAGGAGAATTTTTTTTTTTTTGACTCAAGCCTCAGTGTGCCCTCATTACGAGTCTACGGTCGCCAGGAATGCTTTTATTTAACCAAGGGAAACTACTCCGTTGGACAAGTCAGTTTAACCATTTATCAAAACTAATAAATTTAAATTTTTTAAACACTAAACAATAGTGAAAATTCTTATGTGATGAAATGTATTTCTTTGCTAAGTTTAGGAGGAGAGAGGAGAGAATGGGTTATAAACTTACTTAAACTAAGGTATTATGTGTAAAGAAAGGGTGGGGGGTATGTGCAAGGCCCTCCTGTACTCAACGTGCACGGCCACATCTACTCACAATGAACCCTTACACATGTTACTCACGATAATCTCGTGATTACATCTTTGAAATCATAGTGAATGCGGTAATTCGTAGGCTAATTGTCGTAAGTTAACCAGTAACTTGGTTTCTCGTTATACAAAGTTTATTTTACTTGTTTATTGTGTGCTTATTTTTGCTTGTTTATGATGTGTTTATTTTACTTGTTTATTGTGTGCTTATTTTGCTTGTTTATGATGCGCTTATTTTGCTAGTTTATGATGTGCTTATTTTGCTTGTTTATTGTATGCTTATTTTGCTTGTTTATGATGTGTTTATTTTGCTTGTTTATGATGTGCTTATTTTGCTTGTTTATGATGTGCTTATTTTGTTTGTTTATGATGTGTTTATTTTGTTTGTTTATGATGTGCTTATTTTGCTTGTTTATTGTGTGCTTATTTCGCCTGTTTATGTGTTTATTTTGCTTGCTTCACGAGGTGTCTAGAATGCTTGTTTTATCGTTCTGTTTACCTTGTTTTAAATGTTTCCTCTGTTGTAAGCTCGTCATACTTGATAAAAAAGGATAGTACTCTAGTGTGAGAAATGTAAGTAAGATAACCTATGAACCTTTTCATTCTACAGTAGAAAATGTAAGAAATATATTGCGCTTAAAATAAAAATTGTAAGAAATAGATCTGAATGATATTTCACTATAACAAAACATGACATATTACATATTACACGTAACAGAAATAAAAGAAATTTTAAAAAGTGTAGGCATAACTAGAAAATTCGTGAGAAAATAGTTTACACTTTATAAAACGTTAGAAACTATTCGCGTAAAAAAGGTTAATGTATGCGGCAACCTTGTAGGTTGTAGGTAAGCTGTCATCAATCACGTGACGGTAGAAAACGTGACCTTACGAGATTTCAACGAGACAGGGGCGGTAAACGAGAACAGATTAACTAAACAGGAAACCACATCGGGATAACAGGGGGGATAACTCATGCGTAGATTAAGGAGAGCTAGGGGGACTAGTCGTTCCTCACTGGAGATAAGCAGGGTAGTACGTTATGGGGAGCACGGGGGATAAGTCGTTCACTCAAGTTTTTAAAATTTAACTTGCAGTTATTACAAATAATATCAAGTAAATAAAAATGATAAACATTGAAAATTCTCACTCAAGTTTTAAAAATATATTTTAAACGAAGTGGCTCATTGATAATTGTTATAATTAATTTTCAGGCGTCAAGTAGACTATTCTTATCTCTTAACGGCCTATATTTGAAAAAAAAATTCTGTTTTTTAAGAAAAAAAATATGTCCATGTTAATGTCAAGACGACATGAAGTCTACATCAGATGTTTTTATCCTGACATACAAGGGGAATAATTACAGATAACTTGCATAAGGGGAAGTAACCATATGCAGGCTGGTAACATATGGTCTAACATGATTTCAAATAAAATTCAAGTCTACAGTTATTAATACGCATTGATTTTGTTTGAAACTATAACACTATATTTTAGGAGTGTGTTAATTAGAACATTAGAGGGGGGGGGGGGGTGGTAAGGATTCAACAAGAACACACCATATTTTAGGGGTGTGTTGGGAATTCAACAACAACACACGATATGTTATGGGTGTGTATAACAAGAACACACCATGTGCAATAACACCACCACACCAGTTATGATTACCGTTTGTTTAGATGTCGGGTAAACAACGCACACGTGTCACTGAGCTGTGTGAAAAGAGTACATTTGTTTACTATTGTAAATCCGTATCAGTCCTCACAAGCCGATGATGAAAACTAATACTAACGCGAACATGGCAAGGAAAACTGACGCTGTAAACATGTCTGAGGGGGGAGTAAAAAATTGTTTCCGATGTGAAATCGGACTCAAATCTAAAAATAAATTTGGCATACAAACAGCGCTCACGAAAACTACGTACGAGAAAAACAAACGTGAGAAAAACATTCGCGTGTATTCAACACACGAAATACATTCAGCATAACAATCACGTGCTTATATAGGTCGCGTGCACACTATCATGCGCACTATCGCACACACAGATTCCATGCGCACATGCACAGCATGCCATTAGCTCTTATCATTAGAGTTTTTTCAAAGTCCAGAATCTAACCTACATTGTAACATCGTCATAACCAACCGTCTAGTTTCATGATGGTAAATAGTTGCTAGCCTATTATACTTGACATTAGTCTGACATTTATACACTAATTTGAAGTCACACATTAAACAATGACATTTACAGTGTTATAACAGGAAGTATAGAAACTTAACGTAAATATAGTTAAAAAACGGATATATCATACAGTTGTAAATGTTTACTCTTGTTAAACACCTAGACACGGAAAAGGAAACTCAGTCATCGAGTAAACAATTGATGAAACAATGAAAATATATTTCAGATACTTACCAAAAGTCAAACTGCAAAGATCATCAAGATCATAACCCAGATCTACTAAATACTGATGCCTAGGATTTACAAAAATCCACCCACAGTGACAAGTTGATTTCTAAACATCCACCAAAACTCCACACTGTGACGACTCTAAACCACCAAGTCCACGAAGATCCACCAAATATGCCTGTAACATTGGATGAAAATTCACAAGTATCCACCAAATATCCACCAAATATCCACCAAATCCACCGTCCTCCACCAAAAGTCCACCAGCAAGTGAGCGTCACTCGCCCCCCGTAGACTGACACAAACGAGTTTGTAACCACGGTCGACCTTGAGGTCTGCGCATGCTCCAGTTCTGCTTGAGCAGCGGTCGTATGAAAACTGGCCACAGATAACGTAGTTTAGTCAAGACACATGTCTGCCCTGAGCTGTCATATTATGGTGGGGAGGGGGGGGGGGGAGAAAGGGGGTGGGGGGTGTTTCTAGGGTTGTTTTTTTTTTTTTTTTTTTGCATTCCAAGCTGTGCCCAAAGAATAAACTACCATTAGAAAAACTATTAGTAAAATCTAATTTAGGGATTTTTAAAAAGAAATTTACATTCATTGTGATCCAAGCTATTTTTTTCTTTTGTTTGTTTTTGTTGTTTTGTGTACAGTAACGAAGGCGTGTCTATTCTTAGCATACTGTAACAAACTAGTACTTTGTTTAACACTTATTTTGCTTTTCATTTAAGTACCACTCCTTTTAAGTGCGTTACTTTTTTTTACGTTAAATTAAAAGAGTCGATGTATGTATAAGTAGAGTTAAGAAAAACAATTGAATCACTGAAACTGTATTGTAATTGTATTGTTAGTTTTATCTTCTGAGAGATATCACCGCATACTTTTTACATCGATAAGACATTTTATTTCCAAGTACAAAATTTAAAATATGTTTGGAGATGTACAGTTTCTTGAACACAACTCATAGACGTCTCGCGTGGACAGGTTGTGTTCTATTTAAACACAACACATAGTCTAATATCTTGAATAGGCTACACACGTCTACACACTAGAACCGTGTCACAAACGTGCACACATAAACACACTAGTAGCCTACATCACCCCCCCCCCTCCCCTGCACATTTGAATTACATTAATAATAGTGGCATTTCCATTTTTTAAAAATGTGTTGGGGCTTGTGTTGGGGCTTGTGTTGGGGGTTGTGTTGGGTGTTGTGTTGAAGGTTGTGTTGGGGGTTGTGTTGGGGGTTGTGTTTGGGGGTTGTGTTTGGGGGTTGTGTTTGGGGGTTGTGTTTGGGGGTTGTGTTGGGGGTTGTGTTGGGGTGGTGATGGGGGTTGTGTTGGGGGTTGTGTTGGGGGTTGTGTTGGGGTTGTGATGGGGGTTGTGTTGGGGGTTGTGTTGGGGGTTGTTTTTTGGGTTTGTTTTAGGTGCTGTATTGTGGTTTTGCTAGGGTTGGTTTGGGGTTGGGCTATGTTGTGGGTTGTGTTGGGGTTGTGTTGAGAGCATGTTTTAGGTTATGCTATGGTTGGGTTGTGGTGGTGCGAGGGTTATGATGGGGGTTGGATTGGAATCGTGCAGGGGTTGGATTAGGAATGTTGTGGGATTATGGTATGGCTATCCTTAGCCACGCGTTAAAGCTGCTTTCACGTCACTTTCAAATAATTTAGCCCTCGATGAAAAAGTTACTTTTAAAAAAATACCTATTTTATATAAGGGAAAAATATTTGTGTCATTTTTGTTTACGATTAGCACATTTTTTACATTAATTATAAGTTATAATTTAATACGACACCATGGAAATTACTCAGGCTATTCAAAAATCAGTTGACCGCTAGCTTCAACCTCCGCTCCTCCCTAAATAACGAAGAACAGGCATACCTAAAGTCAGAGAAAAAGAGAAAGGTATACAATTTAGAATTCCCAAAATTTTAATCGGTCGCTTAGCGTGTCACTAAGCCAGATTTTAGATAAGAAGAACAAAGAAATGAAAGTTTGTTTTGAGATTATTTCAAGGGCGGCTACTAGGACTATTGAGCCAGGGTTGTGTACCCTTGACTCTTAACCCGCTGTACTGTGAGAGGCTGTGACCCATTGTTTAACTATGGTTGCCATGGTTACTGGTGACACCATTGAACCTGTACAATACAAAATGTAGAAAATGTTGAATGCTGTATAAGAATCGACGATGGAGCAGGTGTAAAAACAACTAAACCAGAAACTATTCAATAGAAATGGACTTAGTCAAACTAGAAAAATATTTATAAAAGTTTTATTTTATTTTTTTATTTTTATTTTATTTTAAATATTTGTTTTAAAGTAGCCATACCTCATTATCAGATTACATGACTAGCCCGCCCTCACTACCTCATCACGTGATAGAATATCTTATCAGTACATTCTAGATCGCCGTGGCTATTTAATCGTATTATTAAGATAGCGACCCCTACATTTAAAAAAAAAACGGAAGCGAACATTCGTTTGCAGATTGATGACCTAATATCAGGGATCTCACATAGTCATTTTTTTTTTTACTTTTGGTGTTTATTTTTTAACTTTTAAAAATTGATGGTATTTTTTTAATTGATTATTTCAATTAAAGTTGAAACAAGGTAGAACTGAGATAAAGAAAACAGATTTGAACCAAGGTCTAACACAGTCGATCACGGAGCACGATCGTGATGAGTGTGGTGGTGTACTTTACGTAATGTCGTAATCATAGTACAGGGATGGTGGGGGGGGATATGGTAAGGTGGGTGGATGGATGGTTAGGGTGGTTGGATTTGTGTTTCGTAGGGTTGTTATATGGTTCGATGGGTGTATGGTTAAATAAATTATAAATTTACAATGGAGCGTATTAACTTGAGAAAAGCTGTATTGTTTAATTTACGTGGATTTGAACTTCGTAGATTTATCAGAATCAAATATTAACGCAATGGTATGATAGTAACAGAATAAACAAACTGTGTACCTTGCTGGGAAGGCACCATAGGGTGGACATAAATCACAATTTTGGTGGTTATATTATTTGAAATAAAAATATATGTTTTAATATTTATTCCAGGGGTTCTCAATTTTTTTGAAGTACCAAATCCCCAACAGTTTCATATGTGCTTTCACCGAACTCTTCTTAATAGTTCTATCGTTCGCACTGACAAAATTCGATCGCCGAACCCCTGAGACAAACTCACCGAAACCCTGGGGTTCGATCGGACACAGGTTAAGAACCACATATTTAAACTATGTACTCATGTATCTGTAAGAATGTATGAGAATGTGTATCTGGCTGTATGTGTATGTGAGCGCGCACGTCAACTATACACACCACAAACCTACAACACAACACATGTGACCGTAATTTTACACCGCCTCATGTCAAGAAGTTCTAGTAAAAAAGTTGTAAACCAGTTTTTGGACGCTTGATTTATCTCCCTTGACTTGTAACTTATTACATCCCTTTATTTTCTTGCAAGCTTAGTTACATCCCTTGCTTATGTTTTCTATATTTTCACAATTATATTTATCTCATCATTGTTGTTATTGCTAAAAGACTTTGTCCATGATTGAGTTCAACTATCATCTAGTGAACATGATACCACAAATACAGATCTATCGTCTGCGACCTACTTAATCGCATTGCGTGATGACCTTGACTATCGACATTGACCTTGATAAAAGATCCGAGTCCCGCGCTGATCTGGAAAATGGAGTCCTGGATCTTCTGCTCAAGGCTGTGGGCCCGGAGCACTGCGCATGCGCACGTTTTAAATTTAGTAACAGCTAAGGGTTATCGGAAGGACGAGTGGGTTATTTTAAACTGTAAATGTGTGGGGAACTTTGGGCTGGGATAAGTTGTGGGGGATGGGAACCATGTGTGGTTGTGTGTGGTATATGTGTGGTGTTGTGACTGGAAGAGGATGTATATGTGGTTTTGTGGTTGCATTTGGATGTTGGTATAAATATATGAGTATAAAATGAGTTCCATGTGTTTGCTATTTTAATTATGTGTATGTTTGTATGTCTCATTGAATATAGTTCTTTGTATGTGTTTGAGTGTGCATGTTGATGCGACTATGGATGGGACGGTATATGTTTATGTTTGGCTTTGCCATAAACGGGTTAACCCACATCTTGCCCAGGCTTCATCGACTTTTTAAATATTGATTTTTTTTTTAATTGATTTTTTAAAAATTGATTTTTTTAATTGATTTTTTAAAAATTGATTTTTAAAAATTGATTTTTTTTAAATTGATTGTGTAAAATTGATTTCTGTGAATGATAAGCCCGACGAGCAGAGACCACGCCCACCTTTGCGTGTGTACCTGTGTTCCCCCCCCCCCACATGACCCACATCATGACCACTAGTCACCCCATGGCTTTTCCCAACACGCTTATGGCTTTCCATTCAGTTCCCCCCTCCACTCACACCCCACCCCCTTATACCAGTTTGTAACTGTGGTTTAAAATGTAGATAGCTGGGCATTCTCTAGGGCATTACTGTGAGCACTGTGTTTCCCACTAAGTCTTGTTACCATGGAAACGGGCTATAATTAGCTCTTCTTATCTGTCACACAGTACACGCAAGTGACCTGTACAGAGCCTTAGAAACACAAACTAAAAATTTTCTTTCTTGTTAAACTGCCGGTATTCCATATATTCTGATTTTCACATGAACTTTCATTTTGGTTGGAAAGAAGGGGTGGGGCTTCATATGAAAAGGAATAGTAATATTTACTCGCTGAATCAGCCTACATGTAAAGACAGGTATTGACATTTGTTGTTAAAGGGTCCTGGCCTGCGGGTTGGGTCAAATGGTCAAATACCTGCGCTTAAAGGTGAAGGCCACTGGTCAAATATCTAGGCTTAAAGGTGAAAGCCACTGGTCAAATACCTAGGCTTATAGGTGAAGGCCACTGGTCAAATACCTAGGCTTAAAGGTGAAGGCCACTGGTCAAATACTTGGGCTTAACGGGAGGAAGGTGAAGGCTACTGGTCAAATGCCTATGCTTAAAGGTGAAGGCCACTGGTCAAAAGCTTGTATCTAGAATAAGGAAGATGAAGTCCACTGGTCAAACACCTGGTCCTACAGGTAACCCTAACTTTAATCTCCAGACACGGGGTCGGCTGCAGGTGTCCACGAATGAGAGCACAGGTTGCCGTACACCTGGATAAGAACTGGAACAAGTTCTAGTAACCAGGGTAACAATCGCTACCGGAGGAAACTTTGGAAACCTTTTTAGTCTTTTAGTAAACATAGACCAAGAACACCAAACGGAAAATGTATGTGTGTTTCAGTAAACACAACCAACTCCTTAGGTAAACTTTATCCGTGTTATTAAACA